CTGATATATTGATTTCTTTTTTCTCAAATTTTTTGCTTCGTTTTGTATAATGCACAGAAAGAAGGGGGAACGCCTGAACTGGAGAAAGGTACAGTTAAGGCTGTTCAAGATCTTTATGACGTTGTGCACCATGACATCCTTTCTATGGACCTGAGGTCAGTTAAACATGTGTTATATGCGTATGGGTAGAGTTTCCATTGCTTGATTCTCCTCTACTTATATCACTTTATTGGCTGCCAATTTTAGGGAAAACTATGAGACATGGAAATTTTTGTCAAATGCAAGGACGGAAGGTCGTCTATTTGCAAAGTTAAAGTGGCCCAAGGACCCTAAGTTGGTATGTTTGAGCAGATTACCTGATCTCCTTAGTTGGGTTTAGATTTAATGCTCAGTATTATGTTGTGCTTCTGCTGCTTTGTAGTTATTGAGGATATGCAGAGAGTGCAAGTGAAAAGATTGTATTCACTGTGTTGACCCATTATTTATAACGAGAGATCCAAAAGGAAGGACAGGTTCAATCTCAAGGTCTGTGAGCTTTCAATTCTCATTTTTATTATTATTAATTTTGTTTGCTCTTTGAAATTTGAATGCATCAGTCTTTTAATTTTATTGGGATTAGTTTACCTGAAATGGGTTTTGGGTAATCATCTGTTATTTTCTGATTTGGTTACATTATGCGAGTCATTGCTTCTTTAGAAAAGATTAAGGAAGGTGAGCAATTTCAGAAAAAATGCGATTATCATTTTCTAAAGATCATGGCATTGCCCTTCCTGTATTTTTTGGTGGTTGTAAAATTATGACCTGACATGGAAGTGGGTTTTGACATTATTATTAATTTTTTTTTTTTACATCTATAGTGTCATGTTGGCATTATTGCTTACGTTTAAAAGCGAGTGTATTTTACATCTATCTAATGCCTTCAATTTTAATCTCTGCATTTTCAGTGTTCAGTAATGCCTTCAATTGTCCTCTGTTTTACATCTCAGTGATGACACAAAAGCTTCATAGAAAACATGTCAGCTTTTGACTCAAATTTTGACGGTGCCCCTATCATCTCTCTGAAAACCAAAGCAACCCCAAACAATTCCGGAATCATTTTTACGTGTCCCAAAATACGGTATATATATATATATATATATATATATCTTCATCTCAAATTTATTCATCTCACAAATGTTCATATCAAGTTCATGGTTTTTCACTGTTCGAAATTCCACACTACTTAATGTTTGATAACACTTTTATTTTCCTCTGTTTACTTTTTTATTAGTGATGTTGCAGCAAACGAAATATCAGACACAACTCTTACTCCAAAGGCTCCCGCCAGAAATGTATCAGATTCCCCAGCATTTCTGAAACCATATTTATGGCTGCAAAACAGAGTATGTATACCCTTTCATTGTTCTATATTTTTTGAATTATTAACCATCTATTAAACATAATCTTTTTATCCCCTTCGCTTAAAACTCAAATAGTTCACTAGATTTCTTTATCATAGTCAATTGGAAATGATGCAGTACTTTATTCAATTCAGATTCTTCATTTCAGTTGCTTGGTATGCATCTATGAGGATGTTAATTTTTTCATCAATGAATACTGATGAATTTTGCTGCATATCCTTCATATGTCGCATGCTTAACCCATACATTGTTCAACTACTCAATGCTATTCCTTTATGAATGGTTTAACTGATACCTCCTATTTAGTTGATGAAATAATCTACCAAAAAAAATAGGGAGTTCAATTCAGAACAAAAAATTCTGTTAACATTTTAGTTCGCTTTCTACAATTTCGACCATCTATATAGATCCTCCAATCTTTCATACCACATGCCTATATTAATCTGATTGATAAGTGCACAGTTCCTTTTTTAACTTCCAGTCCATTTGAAATATTCATTTTGCCGCTTTATTTTAACAGTTGCCATTTTTTCAAATTTGTATCAACAATTTGAAAATTTGTATCAACACTTTGAAAATTTGTATCAACACTTTTCAAATTTTAACAGTCCATTAGATTTCCATACTTTCTTTTTCTCTTTTGTTTTAAATTCTATCTCATTTTTCTAAAACCAAAATGCAAAACATAAATTTTTGGGCAGTCTGTCTTTAGGCACTTTACAGTACTGGTTCTGATCTCTTGATTGAAAACGCTGTGTGTATATTTGAACAACTTGGTAGAAAAGGTTACATAGACAAAAAAAGGCACCTCAACAACCGGATGAATAAGAATGAACAACTTCTGCTGTACCATTTGGCATATCCATAAACATCTATTCATTATCTTTCAACCATCTTTTGTACGTAAATAGGACAATTTCGTAAATCTTTTGTATGTAAATATTATATACATATGCATCTAGCATTCTCTTTTGTATGTAAATAGGATTATCTACCAAATCTTTTGCACATAAAATAGTATGTACATACAGATCAAGTATTTTTGTATGTAAATAGTGCTATACACAAAATTCCATACGGTTCAATTCCACAGCATCGCGTGGGCATCTCTTACTAGTATCTTACTAAGAACAAGATCAGCTCGTCGATTTGATCAGAAGGCTTCTTATATGCTAGGTATTGGAAATTTGAAACCAGAAAAGCCAGGGCTTTGATCAAGCCAAGCATAATGGCTATTGACCTTTGATCAAGCCAAGCATAATGGATAAATCAATAGTTTGCAGTGTAGGTACCTGGAAGATCTTCTCTTGCAAATCAAGAGTTACCAACCTTGTGAAGTACAAAATCTCAATCGGAACCTTCCCCTTGAAGCCAGCATTCATCAAGTTCAGACTACTCAAACCAGTTAGCTGCCCAAACTCGGATGGATCTGAGTGTAGTTGAAGTCATTGTAAGCCAAATTTAGGTCCTCGATATACTGCAGATGGAAAAGAGCATTTGATATGTGCACCTAAAATTGACTCGCTGCTTAAGTCAAGATGAGAAACACAACCATATTTGCAGGAGACACCTTCCCAAGAACAGTAATCTGAGCCATTATTCCACTGCACAATTTTTTTAGATTGTATAGGGTCAAATTCGAGGCTGTTGTTCAATTGCAACAACAATGATTGTTGATCGCTGGGATGACATTGCCTAGAGACCACAAATGTATGGAAGCTGAGTGAGGGAAATGAGCATCAGAAAGCGGAGGAGTTTTCATCGGAAGCTCTTACTGATATGGGACAGAAAACGTAGTACAGAGCTTAGGCTTAGGGTATTAGGAATATCTTCAGCAGTTGTCACAAATGAAAAATCAACGGTACGTAGTCATTTATGCATAGAGTTCCTTTTTCATTTTCGTAATTTTACTTGTTCATTGGCTACTAATTCGCATGCATTAATGTGTATAGTTGGATCGAGACTCTGATATTGTGGACAAATGAGATTGCATTAAGGGATTGACTTGTTTATCATTGTATTCCTCTTTGAGAGGCTAAGGAAAACTTTGGTAATGGTAAGTTAATGGTGGGTTTAACTTTGTGGAGAAGGTTTCTACGAGACTTGTTGCTTCCTCGACTTGTTGACGTCGAAGAGAGGGTGACATTTCGCCCCTACAACCGGGCTAAAACTTGCACGTACACCCCTCCTAACTCTCGCGTGAGGAGACATACTGATTCCGATACACAGGAGAATACACTTATAGTGCAAGAATTTTGTTTCTTAAATAGTTTAGATAGCATTATGTGAAGCTCTTCAACTCACTTCATAGATGCCAAAGGCTCACAGCTAATCTACAAAGAAGTGGAGATTCAACATGCTGCAAGTCACCGAAAAACGAAGAAATTTCCCCGCTTAGATAGTATTGATGCGTTGGTGACCTTACGTTGGTTGTATCAAAGACTACCAAGTTTTCATCCGGAAAAATCAAAGCTAAAACAGAGTAAACGTTCATGATAACAAACAGAAGAAAACCGACAAGAGGAGAAACCACGAAAGAAAGAAAGCTAAGAACCAAAACCAAACAAGTGAAAACAGAGTCAAATGAAGCGTGATTTAAGTAAAACTATGTTGATTCAATGTCGTTTGCATTTCCAGTTTTGTTTAATTCTGTTTTTGGTTTGTGTTTTATGTGTCAAATTCCATACTCCGAAAATTTAATCGCTAATATGTCGATCTTATAGCGAGCAATGCTGATTCCTGTACTGGAAAGATGATTGAAATACAGTTTGAAAACATTGATAATCCTGGCATTCAAAAACAAGAATGAAATGCAGGCAACTCTAATCCACATTTTACTAAAAAAGTTTGCAACATCAAAATATAAAAAAGTAACAGAACAAGCTCACACTACATCTTGTAATTTATAATTATGTGACGGCAGAAGAAAATATCTTATTTCTTACAGAACACAATCATAACAAGGAGGCTAGCTGCATTGCTCCTCAATCCTCATAATAATTTCAATGTCTCGGCCCTTGAGTTATGTGAACATGTCTTCGGTGAGGACCGATTCTTTCTTCAAGCTGAGGAAATACCTTAAAGAAGATGTTCTCCACAGTTTTGTAATACCATTTCCGCCATCTCTTGCAGAACACGAGTGGCCCAATGACAGCTCCAAAGCCAAGGATACATCCAATCTCAGTACTTATAAGATCAAAATCAATCTCAGGTTGAGCATTAGAATGACCTTTTTCTAGTGGTGGTGGTGGTGGCAATTGTGAGGTGATATCAACTGTCAAAGGAGGCCCCCACAATCCTTTGTTGAATGTGAAAGAAGCTGCTGAAAAAGATTGAATCTGAGTGCCAGTTGGAATCCTCCCCTCTAGTTGATTTATTGAGAGATTCAGGAACGAGAGGAAATTAAGTTTGACAAGCTCTTGTGGAATTTGTCCGCTCAATTTGTTGTTTGAAAGGTCTAAGGACTCGAGTTGTCGTAGATTACCTAGTGATGATGGGATTGTGCCTGTGAAAGCATTACTGGACAAGTTTAGGCCATGGAGGGATTTGAGCTCTCCCACTTCCTCAGGTATTGATCCATTGAATTTGTTGCAGGAGAAGTCAATTGAGGTGAAGACTGTTAAGATCCTTACCAATTCCATCTCTAGACCTTTGGTGGTAACTGTTATAGCATCCTGATAATATAGACTGGAATACAGAACTTCAACTTGGAGGTAATTAATCTTTGCCATGGCATCATGTTCGTCAGCCATCATTGCTGACCAGGTTATCAAACATGTTCCTGATATTTCACCACTAAAATTGTTGCGAGCTATGTCAACAATTTGAAGCTTTGGCCAGGGGCCACTGGTCGTGTTACATCCAATTTGTCCATAAAAATGGTTGGATCGCAAAACAAGGACACGCAAGGAGGATATATTCTTCAACAAGCGAGGAAAGATATCTGTCAGCTGATTGCTTCCAAGGTTTACAACCTCTAGCATTGTGCAGTTGGCTAGAGATTTTGGAAATGGACCTGCTATGTGATTGCCATTGAGGTCTAGAGTTTTTACACTACAACTCCGAGGAAATTTATCAGGAACAGCTCCAGAGAATTTGTTTCTCCTTAGATTAAGTACTGCAAGGGTGCTTATTGCACTCAAGCACTGGGGAATTGTGCCACTTATAGAATTATTGGAAAAATCAAGAACCTGGAGAAATGATGCGTTGCACACTGATTCTGGAATGGCCCCACTGATGTTGTTGCTTGAAAGAGAAAAGAACATAGTGTACACGACGAAATCACCAATGTTAGCCGGAATGCTTGAGCTGAAATTATTTCTTGAATAATCCAGATAAGTGGCAAATCGTGAAAGACCTGGAATTTGTCCCTGAAGCTGGTTGGAGTGAAGGTCAAGCAGAGACAAAGTAGAACTAAGATTGATGAAAGGACCTTCTACAGTTACCAGAGAGTTGCAAGAAAGATTTAGTTGAAGAAGATTACTGAGCCTCCAAATCCGGTTGGGTATCTCACCATGAATCTGGTTTTGTGATAGGTCCAAAATGCTTAATTTTGATTGATTTCTCAAGAAACTTGGGATTCTTCTCAAGTTGCCAGCAACTAACTTCAATGTGGTGATATTTGGAAATGAAGAATGAGAGGAATTGGTGTCATTGTAATTAATAGACAAGCTATTGAATGAAAGATCAAGACTCGAAAGATTTTTTAGCTGCTGAATATCATTCAGAAGAAAAGAGCCAGTGAAGTTGTTTGAAGATAGTAAAAGAATCTTAAGCCCTCGGAATTTCAAGATAGACTTCGGAATTGGCCCTTCCAACTTGTTGCTACTCAAATCAAGTGTGTCCAGTACAGCTATAGCACCAAATTCAGGCAACTTACCAGAAAATTCATTGTCAGAAAGGTGTAGCTTCTGCAGCATGGGAAGAGAAAACACAGATGGTGGAATGGTCCCATTAAGTAGATTGTGTCGCAAGTCAAGATTCACCAGACTAGTCAGGTTTTCCCAGCGTGAGGAATTAATCTGACCCGTTAGCTGATTGTAAGAAAGATCTAGTAGGGTCAGATTCTTGGCCATACTGAAAGATGGAACTGAACCATTGAAATTGTTAGCCGACAAATCCAAATAAACCAACTGTGTAAGGTCTTCCATTGATCTCGGGATTGACCCAGTGAAATTACAAGTTCCAATATCTATTTTGGACAGCAATTTGAGGTTCCCAATAGAGTTCGGAAGCATCTGGCCTGAGAAATTTGCCCCATGGAGAACCAGCGATTGAAGAGAGCCATTCTTTGGAAATTCTGGTAAGGAACCTTTAAGCTGTGGATTACCGGATAAGTCAATAGTCTGCAGTGTCGGCACCTTGAAGATATTCTTTGGGAATGCACCATATAATCCAGAATTCATGATTCGTAAGGAATTCAAATTGTGGAATTTCGAGAAGAACTCTGGAACTTGAGTAGACAAATCGTTGTTCTCAATACGAATAACTGAGAGTGACTTAAGCTTCAGTAATGAATTATGAATAGGGCCTGAAAGGTTACAAGTGGACAAGCTCAATACCCTCAAGTTTGGCAATGAAGATGATATCGCTTGGCACCACTCAGTCCCCTGTGCTGATATATTCACACCATCGAGATAAAGTTCAACAAGCTCAGAAAAGTTCCTAAGCAGCACATCTAATCTTGGATTCTCAAGTTTCAACGAAGGAGTCCCGGGGAAATAAAAGGTAGACAAATCAAGAGTTACCAACCTCGTCAGGTGTGAAATCTCAATCGGAACCTGCCCCGCAAAGCCAGCATTCGACAAGTTCAGATTACTCAAACCGGTTAGCTGCTTGAACTCGGATGGAATCTGAGTATAGTTGAAGAAGTTGTAAGCCAAATTCAGGTACTCGATTGACTTGAGACCGAAAAGAGAACTCGAATTATCAAGTCCACCAGTAATTTCCTCGCTGCTCAAGTCCAGACTCGAAACACAACCCTTTTTGCAGGACACTCCTTCCCAAGAGCAGTGATCCGAGCCTTTGTTCCACTTGACAAGTTTCTTAGATGTTGCAGTGTCAAATGTGAGGTTGTTCTTCAATTGTAGCAGCAAAGATTGCTGATCGCCGGGACATTGGCCGTAGACGAGAAATACGTTGATGCTGATGGAAAAGTAGTAAAAGGGTATTAAAAAAAGCCATGAAAACAGAGGAATTTTCATCGGAAGCTCTTGCTGATATATGACAGAAAATGTAGGAAAGAGCTTAGGCTCAGGGTATTAGGAATATATTCAGCAGTCGTCACGGAGGAAACATCAACGTTCGTACTCATTTGTGCATAGATTTCCTTTTTGTTTTTCGTAATTTTACTTTTTTCATTGGCTACTAATTCGCATGCATTAATGTGTATAGTTAGATTGAGACAGATATTGTGGAAGAATGAGATTGCTACTGTATTAACTTTGTGGGGAAGGTTTCTACGAGACTTGTGGCTTGCTTGACTTGTCGACGTCGAAGTCCTTCCCCAATTTCCTAGTGGGGTTTACAATCTGTAACAAGTAGGGTCCTTATTCGATGTCGACATACTATTGATTTAGGTGCTGAAACAAGTAGGCAAGCGGAGAAGAGAGGGTGACATTTCCGCCCTACATCCGGGCTAAAACTTAGTAACTTACATGTACACCGATCCTAATTGTCGCGTGAAGAGAGAGACTGATTCATATACACGGGGAGTACAATTCCTAGTGCAAGAATTTTGTTTCATAAATAGTTTAGATAGCATTATGTAAAGCTCTTCAACTCACTTCATAGATGCCAAAGACTCACTGCTAATCTAGAAAGAAGTGGAGATTCAACATGCTGTAAGTCACCGAAATACGAAGAAATTTCTCTGCTTAGCTAGTATTGATGCGGTGGCGGCTTTACGTTGTATCAACGACTACGAAGTCTTAATCCGGAAAAATCAAAGCTAAAACAGAGTAAACGTTCATGATAACAAACAAACAGAAGAAAACAGACAAAAGGAGGAACCACGAAAGAAAGAAAGCTAAGAACCAAAGCCAAAGAGAAAACAGAGTCGAATGAAAGCTATATTGATTCAATGTCGCTTGCGTCGCCAATTTTGTTTAATTCTGTTTTTGGGTTGTGTTTTACGTGTCAAATTCCGTACTTCGAAAATTTAATCGCAAATATGTCGATCTTGAACAGGAAGAAGTGCAGCAAATTTTTCATTTTTTTTTTTTTTTTTGAAAAACTTGAATGGGTGTGGTGGCTTAATTTTGAGGAATATAGCAAGACCATTATATTTAAGAATTATTTGACTTAGAAGTCTCCTACCATCTATCCTGGAAAAATGAGAAGGAAGGAAAAAGGAAGTGGGGCTGCAAAGATTGCTATTTCCATTTCGATCATTTTTTTTTTTGGAAAAATTTCCATTTCGATCTTTGTTGACTAATGTCACCATTGACTGACATGAGAGCCAAGTAGTAAAAATAGGATGATCACAAGAATCTCACACCCCACGTCCAGAGGATTGGATAACTCATGAATTTCGAGGCATGTTGAAGATTTAGGCACTAGAAGGAAAAAATCATTCGTCCTTGCCCTCAACATATCTTGAATATAGAGAGTTACAAAATCTAATCTACCAAACGAGCTCGTTATACAATCTAATCCATGATACGAACTCGTTATAAGATTGAGTTTAACCAAAAGTCAAGAAATTGTATCAACTCAGATAATTGATTCAGTAGCTTTTTAATATCGTGGAAAAATATCTCCACCAGACTTGTGGGTTGCTTGTTCAATTGATTTTGCAATTATTTCCCAATCTGTCAAGTGCGGCAGCATTGTTGCTTTCCCAATTTTCAGTTTGTGGTGACTGTTGACTATGGACTAAACTATAAAGAATATTAAAAAAAAAAAAAATTCTCGACAGTTTATGGAGAATTTTATTAATATTAAAAAAAGAGTACGCACATAAATCTAACTCCTCATAATACATGAAAAAAATAATAAAAAAATAGAAAACTAATGAAAAAGGCTTGAAAACTTTGAGTTTTAATGATAATGACAAAATAAAGGGTAAAGTGAATAATACCAGGATTTACTTTTTAGTGTAAAAATATGATTTTTCGTTAATATGAACAGTACCGAGAGCTTTTCGTTAAAGTTCTCTAAAAAAAAATACATGAATAGAAAGGGGAACATAAACCTTACCCCTTTAAAAACAAAATCAACAAAGATATAGGGAAAATAAGGGGACATGAAATCTAACCCCTCCCCCCTCTAAAGCTGAACCTAAAAGTTCAAACTTGCAAAACAGAACAAGCAACATCACACGGTTAAGGAAAAAATCAAGAAAGTAAGACGAATATGTATGTCGAGATGCACATTAATTTGAGAAGTGGTAACCAAGAAAGCTAACATAAATATAGCCTGAAAACAAGGAAAACCCATATAATTTATATAAAATATATAGCACTGTATAATATCATATATATATATATATGTATATTCACTTAACTCATTACCTTGATTACAAAAATTGCATTTTGTGGAAAAGTCCAAAAGTTTTGAATCAAAATTAATGACAATTCAATGAGGCTTATGGGAGAGATCAAATATTAGCTAATATCATCAATGTATACATTATATTATAATGATGAATTACTATTTATTATATTATAATACGTCAATTGAACGAATATATATATTTTTGAAAAAAAAAAAGAATATATTTTTTATTTTGCTGATGGATATAACTGTTAACCGATAAGGAATTTGTAACCCAGTAGGTATGGTTATGGATAATTCCCGATGATTAATTTTTGTGATTATGGAGATAAATGTAGCATTTTTGTCGGTCAAACCGAACTGTTGCCATCCCTACACGAAATCTATTGCTATTTAGATGAGTTGTGATGATTTCATTTAACTAGTAAGTCTGTTAGAACAAAGCATTAGCTTTTTTTAAAAAAAAAAAAAAAAAAAAAAAAAAAAAAAAAAAGAGGAAGCAGTGGAATAATTCTAGTCAGTCCAGACAATACTTGGGTACTGACTATTCAGTACCCAAAATACTGACCCAATGACATGGCCTAGTAATATTAAAACACATGTTATTTAAAACTCTTCGCGAATACTTGTGATCTTGTTAACCAAACACCCAACTTTATCTTCGACCCACATCCAAACACCCATCTTCTTCCTTGCTTCCATCCCAAACCAAGGCACCCCAACCGCTTTCCGTCATTCTCATCCCCACACCTCCTTCCTCAAGCTCTCCTCCGTCCATCTGATATGCACCAAATCTCAGATCTCCAACTCAACCTGCAAGCAGCACAACAATGGCGAAAGTTATGGAAAGAGATAGAGAAGAGAAGAGATATCTATCAATATTTTTCTTGAATATATTTTTCTCCATGATTGGTTACATATATTGTTTTTCCAACACTACAAGCCAGCTGGCATAACTAATCAAAAATACTTATTTAATAACTAAACTTGTGAATAAGATAATCACAACTATAACATTGCCCTTTCCTTCAATTAAACCTTGTCCTCAAGGTTGCAGCTAGAACTTGAATTTTGGAAATCTTGCAGTGAACTCATTATAATCCTCCCAGGTTGATTCTTCAACGTCCTTGTCCTTCCAGTGAATAAGCAAGTGCACCCCAACAACATTGTTCTTCTTATACACCCTCCTCTGTAGCACACTCAAAGGCTCTTGAACTTGTAACCCATCATCAGTGACCAATGGTAACAATGGCACTGGGTTAACATCAGGACCAATATATTTCTTCAAGCCACTGACATGGAAAACTGGGTGTATCTTAGAGGTCTCAGGGAGTTTTAACTTGTAGGCTACCTCTCCAACTTTTTCCAACACTTCAAAATGACCATAAAACTTAGGGTGCAGCTTGTGATAGACATAAGTTGTGAGTGAGTGCAGCTGGTAGGGAATGAGCTTCAAATAAACCAAATCTCCCACCTCAAAAGTTCTCTCACTTCTGTGTTTATCTGCTTGCACTTTCATCCTATTTTGCGCGATGACCAAATTAGTTTTAAGCACTTTCAACATTCTGTCTCTAGCAATCAAGCCTTGTTCTACACTCTCCAGTTTAGCCGAACCAAGTTCATAAGATGCAATGTGTGGAGGAGGGAAACCTTACACAATTTCAAATGGAGTGAACTTGGAGGCAGTGTGAAAGTAGGTGTTATAGCTCCATTCAGCCCACGGAAGCCATTGGAGCCACTTCTTGAGTTGAAAACTAGTAAAGCACCTCAAATAGGTTTCAAGGCACCTATTGACAACTTTATCGAACTAATGTATTCTGAAACTTTATTGAACTCGGCTTCTGTCGCTCTGAAGCTCGGCTTCTCTCACTCTGAATCCTTGCGTTCTTTTTCTCACAAGCTAACAACGAACCGGTAGAAGTTTCTTGGTGAAGAACCAATCAACAATAGAATTTTCTTCTGGTTTTGAGGTTGATTCGAAGAAAATTCTACCCAGAAAAGCTCCCGTTTCCTGGTAAGATTTGCGGCTTTCTCGATCTTGGGTTTTCTGTTGTTATCAGAACAATGTTGATATCATCTGGGGGTTTTATTTTGTTTGAATTTCTTTTTTGTGATTTTGGATTTACAAATGGATTTTGTGTTCAACTTTCCTTTTTTGTGATTTTGGGGATTTTGTTTGTAGAGCGTCCATCATCGTTGAAGATGCCTCTTCTCGAGTCTTGTGCTTCATTCCGTTTCTCTAATCCAAAAAATTGATCGCTGCTTCTCAAACTCGCTCTCTCTCTGTCTCGCACCGCCACCACCAGGCGCCGCAGCCGCTCAAAGGCAAGGCAGGTAATTTCATGCCCAATTTGGAATTTAAATCTATGTACATTTTTAAATTGATTTTGGGTTACTGAAATCAGCTATGGAAAATCTGCCATTGTCTGAGAAAACTCAAGATTCCAGTATTCAAGTTTTGGGTTCTCTTCAGACTTCACAATTGTGAACTGGGCGGCCAGTGCAACTGGTTACAGAGCTTCCTGTGAGTTAAAGTTTTAAAATTTTGTTTAATTTTTTTTAGAGTTTTTATCATTTTCGTTATCTCTGCTGATGTTTTGGATTTTTTTATTTATGATTTTTGTGCGATGATTAGGGTTGAAGAATTTGGTGATTAGGGTTGTAAGCAATCTAATTTGACTGTTGATAGCATTCGTTTTATTTTAGAACTCAAAGCCATCAACAACTTATTGGCCCTTGCAGTTGGATTAAAGCAAAACAAAAGTGTGAACATGATTGTAAAGAAGGTACAATTGTTTCTTATCCTGTTGTTTAGTTTCTTCTATCTTTGAATTCATTGGATTTAATTTCTCGTTGTTATTCAATTTTGTAGGTCTTATCAAGTGCTTCTCAACCAGTTCACTGTTCACCCAAACGACTGCCACCACCAGTTCACCCGAATCTGATGAATCGCGCCGCACCACCAATAGGTAAGCAATTTATCCTACTCTAAATTTCAAATATTTCTTTTTAGGTCTGTACATGTGTGCATATGACAATTCATCTAAATGTTATACCTAATCCTTTGCATTTAGGAACATAAAACGGAAATTTGGTGAGGGTTTTCTTCTTCAAATGGGTTGATACTTTTGGCCTGAAAGTATTAAATGCCTTCTAGGGAATCTTGAACACGGTTTGGGCAAGTGATAGTTGTCTAACACTTGGAAGGCAGCTCTCTAAAATTTAAATTATATTTCAGAGTTTTCTTTTCTTCTAATTACATAAAATTGATATTGTCATATAGCTATTTGTTTGTGCTTTGTTCTGATATATTGATTTCTTTTTTCTCAAATTTTTTGCTTCGTTTTATATAATGCACAGAAAGAAGGGGGAACGCCTGAACTGGAGAAAGGTACAGTTAGGCTGTTCAAGATCTTTATGAAGTTGTCCATGACATCCTTTCTATGGACCTGAGGTCAGTTAAACATGTGTTATATGCGTATGGGTAGAGTTTCCATTGCTTGATTCTCCTCTACTTATATCATTTTATTGGCTGCCAATTTTAGGGAAAACTATGAGACATGGAAATTTTTGTCAAATGCAAGGACGGAAGGTCGTCTATTTGCATAGTTAAAGTGGCCCAAGGACCCTAAGTTGGTATGTTTGAGCAGATTACCTGATCTCCTTAGTTGGGTTTAGATTTAATGCTCAGTATTATGTTGTGCTTCTGCTGCTTTTTAGTTATTGAGGATATGCAGAGAGTGCAAGTGAAAAGATTGTATTCACTGTGTTGACGCATTATTTATAACGAGAGATCCAAAAGGAAGGACAGGTTCAATCTCAAGGTCTGTGAGCTTTCAATTCTCATTTTTATTATTATTAATTTTGTTTGCTCTTTGAAATTTGAATGCATCAGTCTTTTAATTTTATTGGGATTAGTTTTCCTGAGATGGGTTTTGGGTAATCATCTGTTATTTTCTGATTTGGTTACATTGTGCGAATCATTGCTTCTTTAGAAAAGATTAAGGGAGGTGAGCAATTTCAGACAAAATGCGATTATCATTTTCTAGAGATCATGGCATTGCCCTTCCTGTATTTTTTGGTGGTTGTAAAATTCTGACCTGGCATGGAAGTGGGTTTTGACATTATTATTATTATTATTATTATTTTTACATCTATAGTGTGCATTATTGCTTACGTATAAAAGCGAGTGTATTTAACATCTATCTAATGCCTTCAATTTTAATCTCCGCATTTTTAGTGTTCACTAATGCCTTTAATTGGCCCCTGTTTTACATCTCAGTGATGACACAAAAGCTCCATAGAAAACGTGTCAGCTTTTGACTCAAATTTTGACGGTGCCCCTATCATCTCTCCGAAAACAAAAGCAACCCCAAACAATTCCGGAATCATTTTTACGTGTCCCAAAATACGATATATATATATATATATATATATCTTCATCTCACAAATGTTCATATCAAGTTCATGATTTTTCATTGTTCGAAATTCCACACTACTTAATGTTTGATAACACTTTTATTTTCCTCTGTTTACTTTTTTATTAGTGATGTTGCAGCAAACGAAATATCAGACACAACTCTTACTCCAAAGGCTCCCGCCAGAAATTTATTAGATTCCCCAAGCATTTCTGAAACCATATTTATGGCTGCAAAACAGAGTATGTATACCCTTTCATTGTTCTATATTTTTTGAATCATTAACTATCTATTAAACATAATCTTTTTATCCCTTTTACATTGCCAAATTCAGGTACTCGATTGACTTGAGATCGAAAAGAGAACTCTAATTATCAAGTCCACCAGTAATTTCCTTGCTGCTTAAGTCCAGACTCGAAACACAACCCTTTTTGCAGGACACTCCTTCCAAGAGCAGTGATCTGAGCCATTGTTCCACGTGACAAGTTTCTTAGACGTTGCAGGGTGAAATGTGAGGCTGTTCTTCAATTGTAGCAGCAAAGATTTCTGATCGCCAGGACATTGGCCGTAGACGAGAAATACGTTGATGCTGATGGAAAAGTAGCAAAAGGGTATTAAGAAAAGCCATGAAAACAGAGGAATTTTCATTGAAATCTCTGAGACAAGGAAGCAGAGCAGGCTAGAACTTTCTCAATGGATACATGAAGGCAAAGATCCATGAAAGACCCTTTTGGGCCGTGGATTCGGGTCCTTGACCGGACGAAAATCCAGCAGAGTTAGCACGGAAGGACGAAGAATTCAGATGAAGAAAAAACATAGAGAATTGTTGGGATGGGGATTTGAAAGAAGAGAGTCCCTGAAACGCGTGTGCCCGTTTGTATAATGTTTGACTCGTTCGTTCTTCCTCTGGGCGGCCTTAGATAACTTGCGGCAAGTTGCAAACATGGAATATTCAAAGCTCCTAAATGGTGTTCGTCTCTTCGCAGATTGGTTGTTGACTTTCTTGTTTTATATATTGAAAAAATAACCTTTCCCTTTCTTGATCCAAATTTTTTAGTGGCATGCACAATGCGTTTGAAGATTTTGGATACTTTTAACTCTTTTTATTGGAAAAATAAGAAGTTTATGGAGATATTATTACAATGGTGGGGCTCTGTGTATGACGTCTTATCTCCGCGTTAGGAGAAGCTCGCTTGTAATCATGCTGGGAAAGATTGGGGAAATTAAAATTTTATTTTGCAAACTAAACGATGTGTCAATAATATGAAATAAGCATGTTGATTAACATTTATGTAATAATCCAATTATCAGCCATCGCCTCATTTAGTTTAAGATGAATCACTTGGCCACTTAGTACTACGGTCTAGTGGTATTCTTCCTCACTTGTAAGTGAGAGGTCTTAGATTTCATTCTCGATAAAAACGAATTTGAATCACATTATTATTAGTTCATTGTAAGGTTAAACTCATCTCATCTTCCTCGTATATATAATATTGTTTGTTCAAAAAAAGAAAAGAAAAATGAATCACTTTAATTGCCCCAAAATTTGATACATAAAACTGAAAGGATTGTTTTATTGATGCAGAGAAAATTTCTTAATGACAATGGACCAACACATACGCAACAAATTACATAACAATTAGGTATCAAACTCATTACAAGTTAGTCGAACCCTCATGAAATCAAGTGAAGACTACTACTATAGATCAAAAGCTAATTGATTTTTTTACTTTAAAAGTCTTTGGCTTGCATTTTAAAGTTTAAATAACTGTGGCTGTCTCTCAAATATTAATCAATTCTTGTAATCGTGGTTGTTACAAAACCAGACCGTCATCATCGTTAAATAATTAGATTTTTTAAGTTTTTTTTAACAAAAAAACAAAAAAATGAACTAGCTGATAGCTTGGCAATGTCATTCCATCGTTTTGGAGATAGGAAAGACTCATAGAAGAATTTCAGCTTTTTTCTAGCTATCAACGTGTGATTTGCCAGTATCAAGAATCGAACAAACCATATGAAATACGAGACTGAAATTCGACCCTGAGCCATCGCGCTGTGGTTATTAGATTTTTAAAGTTCAGTAGGATTCATTTGCATGTTTCAACAACAGTATTTTAGGTAGGATTCGTTTGCATGTTTCATAAAAGAATTTCAGCTTTTTTCTATCTATCATCGTGTGATTTGCCAACATCAATAATAGAACAAACCATATGAAATACGAGACTGAAATTCGATCTCGAGCCATCCTGCTGTGGTTATTAGATTTTTAAAGTTCAGTAGGATTCGTTTGCATGTTTCAACAACAGTATTTTAGGGCTAAACTAATAAAATGTAATATGCTACCCTGAACCATATTGCTGAAAAGTATATACATACGTTATTTTATGCAAAATATCTTCATTTTTTTTATGCTTTGCGCGTTAAACAATGAACGTGCGAATTTCTAATTTGGAATGCATCATTTTCTTGGTCAGAAGTGTTGATTTCGGCACCCGACGGATTAAATAATTTAGAAAGTGTGAAGTCATTGACAAGTGCGCCATGTCGAATTGGATGTCAATTCTTGGAAGAGATGGATAAATTATTTATTTGTTCTTGTAATTATGGACGATTTTGAAGCTGATTTCAGTGTCGTTGTTGGTAAAGAGCGAAAGTCATGCAATTTTGTCAGTAAACGTATGAATCTCACATTTGATTGTATAATTTGGTATTTTCAAAATCTCATAATAAGAATAGAAAAATTGTTGAGGGTATAAATCTCACACAAAAGAAATAAAGGAAAACTAATAAAAAAATATTTGAAAACTTTGAGTTTTAACGAAAATGACAAAATAAAGATTAAAGTAAATAGTACTAGGTTTGATTTTTTAGTGTAAAAATGTGGTTTTTTTGTTAAAGTGAACAGTACCGTGAGCTTTCGTTAAAACTCTCAAGAAATAATGGACCTTGTATGTGTGTTTATAAGTAATTGAGTTACTTTTTATATCACTAAATAATTTTATGGTAGAACCTTAATTTTCTTAAAAAACTATATATTGATTGAAGGGATAAAAAAAAAACCCGACTCAAGGAATTGGACAAAAAACTTAGCTCGTTATGTGGGAGGACCTATTCCTTCTTGAAGACTAATCATAGTTTGATATGTGTATACAATGCTTAAAATTTTTTTTTTTGTTAAAGTTGAAATAAATTCGGTAGAAGTTGAAGCTTCACATTCATTCAAACTTTTGTAAAAATGAAAACTTATGGAAAGACTCAAATATTTTGGTTTGAACAAGCTCACTTCACAAACATTAAGATTACATGACAATATTCGACAAATCGAGTAAGTCAGCTGCAAGCTAATATATTCTGAAACTTTATCATGTATGTATCTTACTAAGAACAAGATCAGCTCGTCGATTTGATCAGACGGCTTCTTATTTGCTAGGTATTGGAAATTTGAAACCAGAAAAGCTAGGGTTTTGATCAAGCCAAGCATAATGGCTATTGACCTTGGGATTGATCCAGTGAAATTGCAACTCGAAATATCTATCTTGAACAACATTTTGAAGTTGCCAATAGAGTTCTGAAACCCTGAAAAGTTAGCCCCGCTTAGAACCAAGAACCTGGAAGATCTTCTCTTGCAAATCAAGAGTTACCAACCTTGTCAAGTACGAAATCTCAATCGGAACCTGCCCCGCTTAGCCAGCATTCATCAAGTTCAGACTACTCGAACCAGTTAGCCGCCTATACTCGGATGGAATCTGAGTGTAGTTGAAGTCATTGTAAGCCAAATTTAGGTCCTCGATGTACTGCAGATGGAAAAGAGCACTTGATAAAGTCCACCTGAAATTGACTCGCTGCTGAAGTCTAGATGAGAAACACAACCATCTTTGCGGGAGACACCTACCCAAGAACAGTAATATGAGCCATTATTCCACTGCACAAGTTTTTTAGATTGTGCAGGGTCAAATTCGAGGCTGTTGTTCAATTGCAACAACAATGATCGTTGATCGCTGGGATGACATTGGCTAGAGACCACAAATGTATGGACGCTGAGTGAGGCATAGGAAATGAGCGTCAAGAAAAGCCATGAAAACGGAGGAGTTTTCATCGGAAGCTCTTGCTGATATGGGACAGAAAATGTAGTAGAGTGTAGGCTCGGGTATTAGGAATGTCTTCAGCAGTTGTCACAAATGAAAAATCAACGGTACATAGTCATTTATGCATAGATTTCCTTTTTCATTTTCGTAATTTTACTTGTTCATTGGCTACTAATTCGCATGCATTAATGTGTATAGTTGGATTGAGACTGTAATATTGTGGACAAATGAGATTGCGTTAAGGGATTGACTTGTTTATCATTGTATTCCTCTTTAAGAGGCTAAGAAAACTGTGGTGATGGTAAGGTATATGGTGGGTTGGGTTTAACTTTGTGGAGAAGGTTTCTACGAGACTTGTTGCTTGCTTGACTTGTCGACGTCGAAGTCTTTCCCCATTTTCCTAGTGGGATTTACAATCTGCTACAAGTAAGCTGTTTTATTCGATGTCCATAGATTATTGATTAAGGTGATGAATTACGCAGGCAGCTGGAGAAGAGAGGGTGACATTTCGCCCGTAAACCCCTTCTAACTCTGGCGTGAGGAGACAGACTGATTCTTAAATAGTTTAGATAGCTTTATGTAAAGCTCTTCAACTCACCTCATAGATGCCAAAGGCTCACAGCTAATCCAGAAAGAAGTGGAGATTCAACATGCTGTAAGTCACCGAAATATGAAGAAATTTCCCCGCTTAGCTAGTATTGATGCGGTGGCGGCCTTACATTGCATCAAAGGCTACGAAGTCTTCACCCGGAAAAATCAAAGCTAAAACAGAGTGAACGTTCATGATAACAAACAAACAGAAGAATACGAACAAGAGGAGAAACCACGAAAGAAAGAAAGCTAAGAACCAAAACCAAACAAGTGAAAACAGAGTCAAATGAAGCGCGATTTAAGTAAAACTATATTGAT